TGCAAGATGTACGCAAGGGATCAACAACTCAAAATGGCAGCCAAAATGATGCCCTGCCCTATTTTTATATGTGCCACATGTTTTTGCACATGTCCAATGCACAGAAGGGGCAAGCTTTTATTTCTCTGGTCACAAGTGCCATCTGGACTTTTTTGACACTTCCCCTGACAACAAATCCCTCTAATTGTTCTGTTCTCAGCCAGCTGAGGAATTGTGGGAGTTGAAGTCTACAAATCTCAAAGTTGCCAAGTTTGGAGACCCTTGCTATAAAGCATAGCATATACTGGGGCAGAAACCATGCATTTCTGAAAGTTCAAGAATAAGCATACAATGTTATGCACTTAAATATACTGGGGATCATTTCTAAGTAAACATAGAATTGGCAAATCTGAAATGAATGCACAAATCTCTGAAAAGCTTGCTTGGTTTTTATATGCTGGCCAGCCATTGTATTCTATGGGTTGGGTTTTTGGGGGAAAGAAACCCCTTACATTTATATTTAAGTTTATATATGCAATATTCCATAACATATGGAAACCTTTCCTGTATCTGCCCATAATTTATGTAACAGTTGCAGTAAATTGCTCAAGAAATATTTTTAATGCGATTCACCCAGCTTCCCTACTTTGACATTTTCCTTATGCAGACTTTTTAAATGCAAATGTTACTGCATATGACTTCCACTAGCACACTTTCTCCCTAGCACTTTTTTCTTTCTTTCTTTCTTTCTTTCTTTCTTTCTTTCTTTCTTTCTTTCTTTCTTTCTTTCTTTCTTTCTTGCAAATTATTGATTGTGAAAAGATAAACACTAGTCAATCTTGTTTGGCAATAGAATTTGTGACACTGTGAAGTTGGAATGCAGACTTTCAAATTTACTGCTGGCTGAAGTGATGATTAGAAAGTCTTTTATATCCTTAACGAAATGCAGATTTAGCATTTTGGTTCTTATTTACTCTATTTGATTACCGAGAAGAGCTTAACATTTTCTGATTTTTCACACAGAAAGAGTCATAAGCATAAGAAAAACTTAATAATACAGCCAATTTTGAAAGCATGTTTTTCTCCCATACTCTATGGTCCCTTCTCAGGTGTCACTCGACTCTTTATCCTCATATACTGGTAGATATGATCGCTAAAGCCAGGTGGTTTTATCTCCCAAATGTCTCTAAAATCTTCCATTTCCTCTTCATTCTCACCACAAAAATATAAAACCTGTCAAGTCCATCATCCTGTTCATCCTTGATTATTGCAACCTCATTTTCTTCAGGTTCCTGCTGATACCCTCAACATTCAGGTTTGCCAGTAATCTGTTGTGAAAATAATCCTCCATTAAGATAGTGCTGTGACATTCCTAAATTGTCATCTCTGCCAGTTCTCTGTTGCCTGCTACATCTGATGTAAGCTTCTTGTATTATCCTTAATAGTCTTATGAGCTGACCCCTTTCCTGCTCCTGTCTGCTTTTCACCTTTCATTCCTGCCTTCTTGGCTCATCTAAACTTCCCATCAAACTCCTTTTTCCCTCCTTTCCACCTCTGAACTTTTTATGCAGTTTTCTTTCTTCTCTTTTTTTTGTCAGTCTTATAAATGATGGTGAAATGTAGGTAAAAAAAATATGACAAGGGAAATGGAGTGAACAATTATCCAAAATGGCAACAAATTAGAGCCAGGAAATAAATTTGTGCACCTTGATATCATATTTACTAAAATGACAAAATGGATGGACGATGTGGAAATACGGGTGGAAAGATGGTAATAAATTAAAGAAAGGATGGGATCTGTTGCGAGAATGAATGTTAACTAAAAGAGAAATTGGATAGGTGGAGGGACATGTTTCTTCCTGCTTTGTTACATGAAGTGAGACTTGTTATAGATGAAAAAAACTCATTTTCCTTCATAGCACACACTACAAACTGAATCAAGCAGATATTAATCTAAGGCTTTCTTCCTGCATGACAGGGACCGATTATGCCAATGTTTACTCAATGCTGTTCTTGTGGACATGAAGTAACAACTTTCCTCATCTTGATTTCTGGTCCTTGTTTGTGTCTTTTGGATTTTTTTATGGTGTGGATGTTGAAAATTGGGAAAGCTCATTGACAGGCATGAATGTTGTGTTTTATTTTTACTTGCACTGTTTTTCATGTTTATTGTTTTATTGTCTTGTACCCCCCCTTCCCTATAGATTGTAAGCCGCCCTGAGTCCCCTCAGGGAAAAGGGCGGCCTATAAATAATAAACTCATAAACTCATAAACTCATA